TTCAGTGGTTGTCTTAATTAATGAGTTAGCAGTTTAACTGAACCCTATGGGGTTAAATCATTCTTGCATTTACACATTCGAGTAGTTTATGTTTTTATGTTGGAACTAATTACAGTTAATAATTTTTCTTTTGAAGCTTGGAACTGGACTGAGCATCATGATCGCTAAAAGAAACCCATCTTTAGTAACCACATTTGCTCTGCTTTCATGCGGATATGTGATGAGCTCTTATCAGGAGGTCGGTTTCTGAATATATCTTAAACACAACCCCCTCACCAATTTATTTCCCTTCCCTTTTCTTTTCTTTTCTTTTCTTTTAATTTTGTTCTTATTAGACAATTTGTAAATGATGCATTCACATTTTCAGGTAAAATCTGTTGTGCTGCACACACTAAATCGTGCAAGGTTCACTGTAGCAGTTGAATCCTTCCTCAAGTCAGGTTAGACTCGATTCGCTGTCTCTTCTCATCTGGGCGTGCGCGTGTTTGTTTGGGTTTAAGTGGTTCTTTTCTTGTTTTGGGTGTGGGAAGAATGGGCGTGGGGTCTACAATCTGCTGCTCCAAATATCTCATTTTAGGAATATTTCAGAGCTTGAACACCAACCTGCACTTCTCAAACCTGATTAAATTATAAATTTTATGACATTCCTAAATGGATCATCATATTTATAACCTATCAGATTCCATATGAAAATAGCATTGCTAGATATTGGAGATCAGAACGCATTTATCAATATCATGGACTCTTCACCAAGGCAAGGGGGATTTTATATCCTTGTTCTCAAATAAAGCTGGGATGGGAAAAGAGATTAGCTAGTTACATGGTTTCGCTGATACACCATAACTTCTGCTATATTTATTTTTCAGGCCGAGTTCCAACTTTGCAAGAGGGAAATTCAATGGAAAATATATTCAGTTTTCCATGGTCAAAACACAGACCTATTGTTCTTGGTACTTGCAAAAAATGCTCTCTTTTGCGCGCACACACACTCTTTTCCTTTTCATCTGACTGTTATATCACATTCACTTTTGTACAACTTGATGCAAAAATTGAAATTGTTTGTAGGGCCCAGATTCAAAGATGCATTTCAGGATCCTGACTCATATCTGGCAGTGGATCCTATTTTTGAGGTATATTTCCATGTCAAGAGGAAGAGGACTGTTAGGCTATGCAGTTTTGAGTTTCATATTTAACTGTTGGATTGTAGCTGAAAACCCATTTTTTTGGGATTTTTTGCACGTGCTTATGTGCATTTACATGCCTCTAGTGATGAGCCTTTGCTTGTTTGCTTATTACCATTTGCACAACTGATGAGTTGCATACTGAATTTTCTTGATACAGAGAGAGAAATACATCGTGTCATATAATCCTTGTAAGGGCAATATATATGCCTTGTTCAAGAACCAAGCAAAGTCTGATGACATATTGAAAGCAGCTTTCCATGTTAGCTCCAACTTCCTGCTCTCATGTCCTTAATTATTGATAGTCTTGCTTCCTTACTTCACCTTCTATTATAGGCTCATGTGCTTCTCCACATCATCCGCACCTCCAATCAGAACCAGTCTTCCTCTAGGAGAGAGCAAGAGCAGGACCTTTCGATATTAGTACCAACATCATCTGATCTTCAAGCTCTTATTGTAGAATCTTATAAGATGGTATCAGCTTTATATGGACCTTTCAAGAACAAAGCAAAGGAACAGGTGAGGGAAAATTGACCTATATACCTTCCCACTAATATCTATTTGGAATTCTCTAACAAAACTGCCTGTAAAATCGGTATCTATTTGTTCAGTTTCATTATATGACTAGTTCTGTTTGCTGCATTTTTTCTTCTGTGATGCCTTTGTTTTCCTAGTCATGAAGCTATATGTAGGTCCATCTGAATTCATTTAACTGTAGACTGTGATCCAGTCTTTAGTTCTTGACTCAATTAATTTCGCACTTCAAATGTTTCTTTCTGCTGGATGCCCAGTGTTCTTAGTGATATGCTGCATTCAAAAGAATATGGGCATTGCGCTTGATGCTCTGTTTGACTGTGATCTTGTTATTCTCAAACAATTCTTGTGATGCTGAATTAAAATAAACACTGGTATTGCACTTTATTTTTCAAGAGAAGGAAAAAATCTTCTCTTATTTGAATTCAGTTTACCACAAGTAATAACTTTGAATTGCTCAAAAGTACTAGCCAAAGTGTTTCAGAAGTACTGGAGTAGTGTTCCTTGGTACACTTGGAAAGTGGAAGGTTATGTGCTTCTACATCGCTTATACTTTTTGGTTTGCAAAATGCTTCTGAAGAAGAGAATGGTTGAATTTGATTGTATATTTCAATTTATAGTTTTGTGGAAAGAGCTGAAAAGTGATCATAACTAGTATGCTTCTAATTCCTTTGCTTCATATCACCAGCTAATGGTTATACTTCTTTTCAGGGTTGGGTAATGTCAGAATCACTACTTAATCCTGGCCGAGCTCGACTGTGTCAATTGGACAAATAAGACATGGCGATCTTAAAATATCTGTATAAATTTGATGATGGATTCCAAAGAGCTCAGGTTGTTTATCGTATTTGACCATTTTCTCGAGGATGCTGGTAAATGTGGCATGCATGCATCGAATGCGGCTTGTCATTCTACTTCTGAATCATCGTGTGAACATGTTTGCCAAGGTACTGTCAGTTTCCAGCATGCAACAAATAAATAACTCTACTCGTTTTCGGATCCGATGTACAAGGTCTTCTAGAGTCATCGATGTCGTGAGAAGCGTATTTGGTGGAGAAGCAGAGGTTGTAACTCTTTGTAGTTTTTATTGTTGTTTATTTTGCCTTTTCGAATATTTTCAGCCTGTAACTTTCTGGGTAATGTATATCGAGTTACGAAGATTTCTTAGTATTTTCCTGCTTAATTTCTGTGTGCTTGCTAGCTAACTCACAGAAGAATATGTAGGGCAATGTTGTTTTTGTTTGTAACCAAATCTCATGGTATGTAGAACATTAAATTCTTGAGACTGAGATTTGAATTTCTAATGTAAATACACAACTAATTGCAAACCTAAATAGGTCCACAAGGCAGCATAGAAATTATTGCCTGCTACTAGGGGTCATTTTCAATATGGTTTTTTTGCCTAGCATACCACATTTATCCTTCCACCTGGACCACAACGTTTTCGAATTTTAGCCCCCATTGAGTAGAAATTAAAATTGAGATTTTAATTTAAATCAAATTTAATAATTTCTAACTACATATCTCATATGTAGTTAGAAATTTACTAAAAAACTAATTTTAATTCCCACCAAATAGGGGTTTAATGTTTTTTTTTTTTTGCATATATATATATATATACACACTAATGCGAGTGCTTAACAACATCAGGACTGATTTGATGCAAATTCTGATCGGGAAAAAAAAGGAAGAGGAAAAAATAATATGATTCTTGTTGTGTGGTAGATATGGCCATTAAAGATGATGTGTACACAGTTCAAAATTTATTAGGTCTCATAAATGAAGGGTGAAAGGGAGCAGATTTTGGGTGGTCGGAGGTCTTCTCGTGCCAAAATTAGGTATGCACCAGCATGAACTGCTATCAATTTGTCACATTACGTCCTGTTCTATGGTGTCATTGTAAAGAAGTATTCTGTTTGACTCACACTAACATTGAGCGACAAAATTCAAGAGAGATGATGACTCGAGTTAATATAGAAATTAATATACTGTGAGGTCGAGTGATTCTAAGCGTATGAGTAAACAATAGTGAGTGATGCGATGCACGTGAAGAACAAAGAATAATTGTAACCGATCGGAGTTAGGTTGAGTTTTAATACATCGGTGCAATGAAAGATTTGATGATGTTTCTTGCAAATAATGGTTGAGCAATGAGTGTTTGTTTGTGACTCATTATTCATTTGTGTGATTTTAAATTGATTTCAATTAAATTTCTCCTACTAAGGTCTCATTGATTCAAAGCAATTTATGCCAATGATTCTTTAATTGGATGTATTATTTCTTGTTATGAAACTCGTAAAATGGAGTGTATGTACATTGTCTAATAATAATAAATTTGTGGGGATTGGATTTGACATCTTTCCATTTTCATTTATTTATTGAAAGTTTCCCATCTTGTCATTTAATTCAAATTGGACATAGAGATTGATGGGCCATTATTGAAAAATGACATGCATTCATCATGAGAAAATCTAGAATCAAACAACATTTTTCAAACTTAGGTTAGTCTAGAAACAAGTTTTAGTATCCCAGAAAAACCTCAATAGCTTCAATTGCAAATGATAAAATTTATGAATGAAAAGAAAATAGACATTCTTTTCGATTAAACATTAAGCCCCTGTTTGGTAGAGATTAAAGTCAAATTTTTAATAAATTTTAATAAAAATTGATGGAATTTCTTGTTGAAAAGCTGTAGATCCCATGAAATGTGTGATTAAAATTAATTATTCATTTTGACTTATTTTTTAATTAATTTTTTAGTGATACCAAACATGGGCTAAAGCTGAGACAAGGCCACGCGGTGTAGTAATAGAACTTGCACTTGTATAGGAAAGGAAAGGGAAGGGGAAAGAAAAAGAAAACTCGACTAATATTTTTCACTACTCGAGTAAAAGAAGACGATAAATCAACTTCGTCAACTTCGTCAAATTTTACGACCTTTTTTCAGAATTTTATTCAATGCAAAAATGTTAAAGTTGGAAATGGGAAAAAAAGAGCGAGGAAGCAAATCCGAAGTTCTAAAGGAATCCTTTTCTACATAAAGACTTCAGTTCATACACAGTACTTGATTGATGCTCAAAGAGAGTCTGTGTAGAAAACTTCATTATACACTGAAAATCACTCATAATCAAAGCCAGCCAGTTTCCAAAACTACGTTACATAAACACTGTTATTATTAGATATATATAAAACTAGTCCTACCCAAATAAATGAAAAGAAAAGATAATAATTATAAGTGCTTTTAGTTAACAAGAAGTTGGAAAAATAATCTCTTTGAACTTGTACTTAAACTGGGCTTTGAGCATTGGATTGTAGGCTCTTCTTGGCAAGATTGTGCTTGTTGTTGTGCATCCAAACTTTTAGTACTCTTCTTTTGACCCCAACTTCTTGACAGAATTGTTGCACCACAGCTTCTTCTTGTTTTTGTATTTTCCATCCAACTTTCTCAGCAAAGTTGAGCATTTTCTCCTTTTGTTCTTGAGTGAACTTTGTTCTGAACCTCTTCTTCAGCAGCTGAGGTGGCCGGGCCACAACCCCACCACCTCCGCCGCCACCCTCCTCCTGCTCATCTGACTCTGAAGGCAGTGACCCCATGTTGTAGGACATTATCATCTGATGTGGTGCCACTGTCCTAGAGGAAATCAGTGTCCCAGTATGGTACCCCAATGCATCAGGCCCCAAAATTCCTTTATGGTGTCCTACGAAATATTTCCTCCCCATTCTTGGATTTTGGTAGAAATCACAAGGAGAGGGCTCCCCTTCAACTTCTTTTCTGTGGAAGTTTCTATGGCAGTTGCAGGCTGAGCAAGTTAAGGCTTCTAAAGTGCCTTCTTCTCCGCTAGGCATGAATTCTCCACAGCCATCAGTGGCATTACCACCCATGGAAGCTGCATGGTTCTTAAGGCACTCTCTGTACCTCACCATTTTCTTGTAGGGCACATGGTCCTCAAGTGTGGAGGATATGGGGCCATTTGAGGGCATTTGTGGGGATGCTGAAGGTGCAGGTATAATATGATTGTGCGCTGCAGAGTCATGATGGATCATGTGCCCATGTCCATGGCCATGGCCATGACCATGTCCCCCACCATATGTGCTGTTAATTGGAATTGGAATCTCCACTTCTTGATTTGGAATTTCCATTTCTAGCCCCCCTTATCTATCTCTCTGCCTTTTTGTATATACTATGTTTTTCCCTTTTTTTTTGGGAGACCAAAAGAGATGGAACAAGTCACAAGAGATTTAGAGGAACTAAATGATTAGATTAAAGTAGTTGTCTGCTGACTAAAGAATTCCTAATATGTTTTTTTCCTTAATAATTGTCCTCTCTTTTTAGAGCAAACACTCTTGAGAAGCTGGCCATAATGAGAACTTCTATCTTCAAATACTTCACTACCTGTATTTTCTTGAGAAGGAAATGAAGTTAATGGAGAGAAAAAGGTCAACACTCACTAGCTACTGTATACCTGAAGAAGAAAATGATGTTCAAAAGTTAGAAGAATATATATAAATTGTAATACACACAGCAAAGAATAAGGAAATGTTGAAGTTAAAGAAACACACCTTCAATGGCAAAAGACAAAAATACTAGGAGAAATGGAGTTATCAGAGCTAAGAAAATAGAGGGTTTTTTGGAATTAAAAATTTTAACTAGTGGAGGACATGAAGAAGAGAGGAGCAGAGAGAGAGAGTTTGCAGGTTGGTTTGGGAAGTGAATGAAGCACAAAACATGAGGTTATAGCAGTAGTGAGGAGCATAAAAAGGGTTGAGAGGAGAGAGAGAGAGAGTGAAAAAAGCAGATTTTTTACGGACAAAGAGGAATCAGTGAGCGAGTTTTAGAGAGCCTGATAGAAAATAAAAAAAATAAAAATAAAGTGGGGTGTTTGGTTTGCTACTTTGCTTTGCTTTGCTTGCACTACTACCAGGCATCAAGTTTACGCCATATAGAGAGAGCAGTGTGTGTGTGTGTGTGTCAGTGTCAGAGAGACAAAGGAAGAACTCTGAGAGAGAGAGAGAGAGAGAGAGAGAGAGAGCTTAAAACAAATGATCTTGAAATTAGATTAGCAAAATATAACATTCCTAGTGTTATAAAAGTTTTGATCTTTGCCTAGTTCAAATATGTAATTTGTTACTATAGTTGGACATGCAAGAGCTGTTGGGGAGTTTTATCTTTTGCTTTACGACACATTTCTTTAGGTTAACCCAAATTAACATCATATTTAGGGTGCCAACGTGTCCAAACGGACCTATGGATTCATTTCCCGAACCGTGGTTCACTTGTGGTCAGTCGCAATGAGTTCGGCTGCCCTACTACGGTTCACCTGTGGCTAGTCGCCATGAGTTTGGCCACCCTCGTAACATTCCCAATCCTATTTTTGAGCTGATGAGCGTTGAACGTGCAGCCTTGTTCAAGAATCGATCGCAATTCATCAGGCGACATGTTGTCGAATACAATTATAGTCAGTTGTCGCGTTCAATCACGTCGTGATGATAATTGTTTTGGACTTTTAGAAAGAAAATTAACAAAAAAACTGATATATTCTTGATTGACGTGCAATGCAAATCCTATTTATGCAAAGCTTTCTGTGTGTCATTATGTCACTCATGATATATTTACAACGATGATTAATGCAAAACAACCCACATAAATACTAACTTTGATCCATGCACCTCATGTGATTATTTATTGTACTTAAAAATTGTCACATGTAAAAACCTCAAGAAAAAAATTAATATTCAATTAAAAACAGTATAAACTTATACGAACTCTGCCCCATTCATATAGATTCACTTTCCTTATTTTCTTGTTCCAATTATATAGTCTTGTTTTGTTCGTTTACTAATATACCCTTTTTTCTTTACTATTTTCAATAATAATTTACAACTAGTTATTGATAATTAAATGAGGGTAAACTGGAAAAGTTTTTGGCAAAAATTCATTTTTCAATAACATTAAATAAGATTTTTTTAATCCGTGCGAAAAACAAAACAAACATATATATAAATGGGATGGGACGGATGGAGTTTCAATTATAATTCTTTAATTTGTCCACGATCACCCTAATGTGAACCCTGTCCAAAGCTCTAGGATCATGAGATCTCGATTCTTGAACTTGAGTAGAACAACCCTACGTCCGATATACCATTTGGGGCTCCTCCCAGTTTAGTAAAAGGGAGATATATGTCTGTATGAATTTGTATATAGTTCGAAGGAAAAATAATGATGCTGGCTAGATGGTGTAAATCAAGGGCAGAAGGTGGCAGTGATAATTGAGTTTTTTTAGCTGAAAATAGGAAAAATGCAACTGGGTTATGACAGACTTACCAATGCTCTCCATGTGACAATGATGTCCTCTTTGAATTTAAGTTTTGTGGGATTTCATTTTATCACATGAATGGTGGGATCATTCATGAATTCTTATTGTACTATTTTTTCTTTTCAAACTATACGATTTTCCACGTAGAAACCTTGACAATTTATACACGAAATGAAGAATCTACCAAAGAAATGGTTCATCGAGTTGAGTCGAGCAAATCCTTATACCATTTATCGCCTTTCTTGGCAACGCAGTGTCTATGGAAGCCTCGAGAAAATAATAGTTGCAAGTAATACTTGTTAGTTCGTATGAGAGTGTGTGAATTAAAGCATTTAAGACCATGTCTTTTACATATAATAAGTGCTCTATCTGCTTTAATCGAAGACTGGTAAAGGGCATTTACAAGCATAGTTGATAATTAATGTAAATTTGTCTACCTACCAAAAAAATGATAATTAGTGTAAATTTGGGTATTTTGCATTAATACATAATGTCTAGGGGACTAGGGTGGGAGACTCATTAATTGAGATCTATACTATTTTAAAAAAAATGTTTTATTTTTTATTGAAATATAAATAAGTGTGAAAGAATTTTCCGTCATTGCAGACTTATTGACTCTTAATTAGGAGCTTGTTTGGGACCGATTAAAATCCAATTAAAATTGAAAATATAGTCGTTATTGGGTCTCACTCGTCTAATAAAAGTCAACTTCAACGATTATATTTTCAATTTTAATCCCCCCCGAACAAACTTTAGATCTTGTTTAGACTTGAAATTTGCAATAACAATCACGTCAAGTGAGACGCTAGTGTGAAAGATAAAAATAAAAATATGTGTTCAAAATAAATTTTACCCATTTTTGAGGTCGTTTAATTATACACGGCCTTATGTATGATGTGATTTGGAGTCAATTGTTTCCGTATTAGTTTTTAATTTGGTGTCAAAATTGCCAAATCATTTCGAGCTAATTTTCCTAGTTGACCTAAGTAATTAAGGGGTTAATTAATTGGAAATTTTAGTACAATATATATTAGAAAGGGGTATTGGGCCTAACTCAACCTAATAAAATCGACTTGTTATGGGAGGATTGCTCTCACCTTATTATGTTAATATTATCGGCCAATGTGAGATTCTAATACATTCTCTCACGCACAGCGTGGATTATGCCAAACAACTGTAAACAAATCGTTATTGGGTGCACCCAACATTACAAAACTGAACACGTTCTGATACCATATTAAAAAGGATATTAGATTTAACTCAACCTAACAAAATCGACTTGTTAGAGGAGGATTGCCCTCACCTTATTAAGTGGATCGTGTTAATATCACCAGCCAATGTGAGATTCTAATAATATATAATATATCTACTCAAAGTTCTTTTTGATTAATTAAATGTTTTTGTCGAGAAGTCTTGATTAACCAGTACTTAAAAAAGTAATAAGGAAATGAAAAAACATTATGAAATTGTATATAAAATAAATGAAGATGCTGTATGTATTCTTTAATTGAAAGGAAATGTATCAAAGTACTTGGATATTCTTTATAGAAAGTTATTTAAGTAAAAACAAGAGAATTCTCTTCATTAAGTTATCCAATTTTTACTTTATTCTTCATTATCCCTTCCTTTATTCTACAATCCACCATGTATTTAAAGACTCTCTGTCCATCTTTAGTTTTTTTTGTCTTCATTTCTCATTCATATTCCATTTGTAATCCTTTTCATTGCCTTCTCTATCTTTTATTTCTTGTTTCTTCTTCAACCTTTTTTAAAGAAAATATATTTATGAAGACTATTTCATCTCTTCAAAATTTATTAAGAATGTTGCCTTTCTTGTTACAATTATCAAAAACACTTCTCTCCAATTTTCTAATCAAGAATGTTATTTATCTTCACTTGGGTTGAACCTCAATTTATGTGGCAATTACATGACATTAAATGATAGATTCATTTAAATACAAAGTCACATGACTCATTTAATTAAATATATCATTTAATGCCATGTAATTGTCACATAATGATAGATTCATTTAAATACAAAGTCACATGACTTATTTAATTAAATATATCATTTAATGCCATGTAATTGTCACATAGACTGATGCTCAATTCCAGTGAAGATGAATAATATTATTCTTTTCTAATCGATAGATTGCATTTTGGAAATGTATATATAAACAAATTAAAATTGTAGGATGTTCACAAGTCAAATTTAGATTATCGAAATTTTCCAAAACAAATAATTTGTTTTTTATTAATATGATTTATCCTTTAAAGGATTTATTTACTGATCCCTTAAAAAAAAAAGTCTTTGTTCAACGTTCGACAAGCTAGAGAGAGAAAGGGCACGATTGGAAGTTAACAATGGTACTACATGAAGGGGCCACAGGAATAAGTTAATTATCACAATTTTCAAGAAACTGATGACACGCAAATATTTTGTCTTTTTTTTTTTTTAATGAAACAAATTTCATTGAACAACGCAATAGCTAAACGGTACACGGAGGAACACCTCCAACACAACGCAATATTTTGTCTTTTTTTTTCTTAGATTTAGACGAGACACATTTATCTACCCATCCCAATCATCTGCCGCGGCAATTATGCCCCGTTTGGTCCCATTATTTGTCATTTTAATTTTTGAAATATTATATTTTTGAAGAATGTATGATTAAAAATGAAATTTTTTTTTGAATTTACGTGTAATATTATTTTATTGGAGAATGTGCGATTGATCAAAATAAAGAGAAAAATGAATTATAAAACTTTGCAATTGAAGCAAGTTCGATAACATGTTCAACGTACTAAATACACTATAATCGAACC